CTTTGCCATGCCACGCCAAAGAAACAAAGGAAAAAAAAAACCCCAACCCCCGCCATCCCCAGAGACTGAGGGAACCTGACTCCAGTGACTTGGTAGAAATACTTGTCTGAGGGGGGTCCCATAGTTGGGGTGGGGTTCTGTCCCCTGCCATTCAGACAAGCCTGCTATAACGGCCTGTTTGTGAACAGTGAGCTTCGACCAGAAAAATATACTGGCTACCAAAGGGCCCTGCCGATCCCAGTGGAAAAGACTTGGGAGAAACCTGCGTTCCAGCCGGGATACCCAGCTGGGGCTTTCCCATCCCACATGAATGCCTTGAGTGCAACAAAGTCTTGGCTCTGCCGCCATGCTCACCATTTCTCTTCCTATTTCTCTCTCTGGCCTTGACAGAAATACCAGCTTGGAGCAGAGAAAGCTTTTTCTCTTTGCCGCTTTCTTTACACACGTACCTGCCCACCCAAGGGTGACCCTCTGAGGAACAAAGGCCTTTCCCAGTTAAACAAAATTAGCAGCTTCTCAAGCAGCTCCACCATGACTTCCTGAGGGAAAAATACTAGGTTTGTCTCGGGGGCTGTGGCACCTGTGTTTTGTATGGCAGTGGATCATGGTGGCGTCTTTCTTTACTTGCATGTCATGAGCTTGTACTTGACACAAGAATATGAGGTCAACACCGTGTCTTATAAGAAAAGAGAACTTAAGCTTAACTTTATTATGCTACATCTACTCTTAACTGCTATACTAAACAAGACACGTGTTGCCTTTGCTTTCTTCTCTCCCTCCATGGGCCTGAAAGGCCTGGAAGGCAGGCTACTAACACAACAGGCACCGCCATGGTCTCACTATGCCCAGTGCCTCAGAGGAAGGCGAAAAACCCCCAGACGCCAGGTCTGTAAATGAAGGGGGAAAAAATTCCTTCCTGGGCCCAATTGGCGACCAGCAAAAGCCCTGAGGCAGGGGTTGGCGACATGCCATCCACACAAGAAGACTCTGGTCAGTCGATGGTTTCTGTGGTGGCTTCGGCACTGTTGCAGATCTTCTCGGTAGCCGCCAGGCTCCCCGTGAGGTTTTGGAGGTCGTGTTCGCTCAGGGAGATGTTCTCTGGGTCAAGGTGGTCTCCAGCTATTGCCATGCAGTGGAAAAAAGGCAGCAAAAGATTAGCTCCACGCATTGCCACCTGGATGCAAAGCTCTGATGTGAGGAGATTGGGACTGCGAGCTTTCCCGTGACACGAAGGCCAGAACATTTGAATGATGGGAAAAATATAGCCCATCCTTAACTTCCTGCGTGGAAGCAGCTAAATATTTAGGCATCTCTGTGCAGCCACGTCCAGGATGACGCAGACACTCAGCTTGGAAAACCCGAGGCCCAAGAGGACCGTGGCTGAGAGAGCTAGAAGAATGTAAAACAGGTCTCCGCCTGAGTGAGCCACAGCAACCTTTACCAGCAGGCACCCGGTCCAGTCTGTCCCGGGGTTGCTTTGCTGCTTGGGAGAGCTCCCGGGGCTCTTTTCTGAAAGGGGGCAGCACCATGCATCCCCATGCACACCACTGGGGCAGGCGGGGG